AAAAAAACACTGCTCTATCAAAGAGAACACCACCCTGAGGGACACGTTATCGCTGTGTGCGTCATCGTATGCCTGCATGTCTGCTCGCCAGGATTGGGAGGTGCGGCCGTACAACTCTGTGTGCAGCGACCGTACAAACAGTGACCAATCATCAACCTTTGTTTAACCTAATCCCCCATCCAGATCATGATTAGGCCCGCTACGTGGGCACTTGATCCGCAATATACGTCCTGAATAAACGTGCTCCGTGCTACACGTCTGTTTCCTTTATAGCTGGTCCATAGCTTAGCTAGTTCTGTGATTCTAGCTAGATGTTGGAAAATCTGCCATAGAGATTTCTGAGTCAGTCAGGCTTACTATTGTAGCAATCCACCACAACCTCATATATCAGCTTTATTGATTTATAATTAGCCGTTTTAATCAAAGTGAGGTTTCCTTCATTGTACATTAATATGCTTCCAGTTTTTTTCCCAAACATTTAAAGTTTACATTTAAGCACTAGTTCGCGCTAATAAAATACTGAAATGTATTTCAATATATAAAATTTTGTTAGAGGTTGAAATGCTACCTCAATTATAGACTATGGCAATTTTCTTTTCTAACTGAAAAATTTCTGAAAATTAATTCAACTGTTTTTTACCTGTTAACTTAACTGTTATCAAAGAGACAAATATTTGTTTATAACAACAAAATGCTCTGCTAAGGTAAATACGAGAGTGCTATGACGACAGTCTGAATTCCTGCGATCTACCTGCCTCCATTTACGATTAGACTATTTATAGCCAGATAGTAATGCACAACCTAGAGCTAAAATTGAAATTAAATCCGCTTTTTAAATTAGTGCAATAGTCCTCACGTGTCTCCTCATTTCTACTGAAGGCGATAAGAACGAAAATATAGCGAAAATTTAATTGAACTATAACTATTCTATTTCACTTCACATCCGAATGTAGATTTAGAGTCGTGTTTAACTGAGCGGTACAAATCACATTTTGAGACTTAATTATATGTAATTGATTTTATATACACCAAATATCGCAATTGGGATGTGCGATAGACTTACCTCCACGTGATGCACCCTGGGCAACGCATACTCATACCACAAAGAAGTCAATAAACTGGCGGTTAACTTCTGACTTCAAACTACCATGACCCCACTGTGTGTCATATCCGACCACTTCCGCAGTACTCGTCTCACCTTTTCTCTGCTTTTGTCTGTCTGTCCGTCTATCTCTTTTACATTTGTGAATCACTCTTCTCTTACCCAACTCTCGAACTTTTCCCACTTTGATGTTTCTCCCTCTGTGAAGCCCGAAGTTGGCTAAAGGACTAATGATAATTATCAAAACGCCTGCCATTTGAATTACCTATATAAATATCGAAATTTGATTTGATTAGATGGTTACTGTTGTGAACTAAATTAGCCCCCAGCTACACGGCCGCATATCTTTGTAATTCGCGACATACAATGGTGAACAAAGATACACATTCAAATACCACTTTAAATCGCAAGGTGTTTGAAAGAAGTGAATTCGGAATTTATCATACAAGATTGCTCCTGCATTTTCGCTTTTTAGCATCTCCGTCTTCGTCTTCAGCGAAATGCAGAAGTAATTGATTTATTAAGTGAATTTTTTGTGTGATTATTTCGTAGACAATTTCCCCACCATTAAAAAGTTTTCAATCCCATGAAAGTCTGCGCCACTCTGAAAACAGCCGACAACTGTGCTCAAGTAAGCTACTGAAAAAGCTCTTTCGCTACTTTCATAACCAATTGAACTTTTCCACTCTCCTGGGTTCTTTTGAGGATCCAGTCTTATTTTTTGTCAGGTAAAGACTGGTCAGACATTACAACCGAAAGGAAATAACTAGTAGTTTAAACGACTTCCTTTACATACGTAAATGCAATTGACCATTTTGCGCATGTTTGACCGCTTGCCAACATAATAGTTCAGAGATTGGCAATTTACTGATGGGCTTCTATTATGAATCACAAATTGATATATTCCTTCAATAATTCATTTAGGTAAAAAGTTTCCATGCGTTTCATTTTCTCGTATCCGTTAACTCAACTTTATTCAGACGAATTATTTGCACAAAAAAATTAAGTGACACAAAATGTAACTTGGAGATTTGCTCTAGTTATTTTTCTAATGTCGGGGTTGGGTTGGTCAATTGAGTGGCTTCTGTCAGCATCACGCGAGTGGAAAATCATTAAAAGTGGGCCAATAGATCAGTTGATTGGGTTTTTGCACGTGTACGGAGAAGAGGGTGGATGGAGGAAGACGGGCTTCTTAGAAACCCTACTGACAATGCTGATGTAGATAAGTTGCGAGAGGCCTGCCAAAGTGCGTTGGAAAAAATGCCCCATCTTAAGGTAGACTCGGCGGAGTGGAGACGTGAAAAAAAGAAAATTTGTGAGTACAAACTGTATCTTCACAATATGGCAGAAAAACACGCAACTAATTTCAATTTAAGTATGGAGTATGACATAAGATTATATGAAGTGATTACAAAACATGGTAAAGCTGAAGATCGTGCAAGAGGACTTTACAAATGACAGCGTCCATAATGATGAATTTAAGTTTCATGCTGGTTTTAATTAAATGACATTATGCCCCGATGCTATTGATTTAATTCATTTTCACTATACTCAGTAATTGAATAAATTTATAAGAAAAGAATTTTAAATTAGAAGATATTATTATTATTTGGTGGACAGTTACATTGCACTTTACCGCAATATTTACGGCCATAAGTTTATAAATTTTTAGGAGGGATTACGAAAGTTCGACATAAGGATTCTCTCAATCTATTTTACGCGCCACAAAGAATATGTTATTTTAGTTAAAACATTCCCCTTTGAAGGATGCAATTATGAAAAACATTCCTGCTGCGAGCTAAATACTTAGATGCTACACCATTCAATGATTCCTTGTTTGAGAACAGAATTTTGAAATTGTGAGATACTTAAGCGCGTAGCGGATTGCTACCTTAGTAAAGCCTGACTGACTCAGAAATCTCTATGGCAGGTTCTCAAACATCTAGCTAGACTCCCAGAGCCAGCTAAGCTATAGACCAGCTATAAAGGAAACAGACGTGTAGCACGGAGCACGTTTATTCAGGACGTATATTGCGGATCAAGTGCCCACGTAGCGGGCCTAATCATGATCTGGATGGGGGATTAGGTTAAACAAAGGTTGATGATTGGTCACTGTTTGTACGGTCGCTGCACACAGAGTTGTACGGCCGCACCTCCCAATCCTGGCGAGCAGACATGCAGGCATACGATGACGCACACAGCGATAACGTGTCCCTCAAGCGTAATTAAGATACGTAGTGAATTGGAAATAAATTGAAATGTCGGTGCAAGAATAGACAACGGACCCCAGAAGTTGTGTTGCGATGCTGTGAGACGCGTTTTGTAAAAATTGAAATTTACAAAAAAAATGCGGTTCTACCGGCGACT